GTATTGTAAAATAAATTTTTTATGTGTTTCACACCGTGTGAAAAATCAGCTGTGTAACTTCAACGTTTCCTCCTGTTTATAAACAGAGGTGAATTTCACCGGTATGTATTTTGATTAAAGTTAAATTTGACTAGGTTAGGATTAGAGTCTAAATTAAGGTTAAAGGTTATTTTTTAGGATAATAAACATTTAGTAGAATTAATGTCGCTCATGTCAACACATGGGTGTGACATTAATTTCAATAAAAATTTCTTGTTATGAATCATCATAACGATATTGTATACTTCGACTTGCTTTCTTCATGGAAAATTGAAATTTTGAAACTTCCAGAGAAGTTATGCTTACTGGAAACTGATTAATGAATGGAATCTAGAAAGCCGATTAACATTCCTAGAAATTCCATAATACGTAATAACGAAGAAAATACAAGAATTGTATATAACAAAAATACGTGATCAATTGGGGGTGACTAGGAAATAATTTAAATTCTAACAATATCAATATATATACAGATAATTATCTGAAATACTTTAATATTCCACATATATTTATATATATATATATGCATATATGTTTAAATTAGTTCCCGTTCCTGCTTTTACAAGGTGACGTCATGCAATCTAGTTCTCTATTTTTGACGTTTACGTCATGAATGGGAGGCATAACATAGAAAACCCCATCACTTGGGGCTTCAGCGAACATCTTACATAATATAACTTGGGGCTTCTTATACATAATATATAACTTGGGGCTTCAACGAACATCTTGCACATAATATATAACTTGAACTTCTGCAAACACCTTACATAATATACATCTAAAATATTGTTACATTGAACTTTACTGAAATGAACTAGTTACATATTTAACCGATTAAAACACAGATCAATATGCATAATGATGTTTTGATTACGTATTACGTTATCTTTAGCTAACTTTATTCTCACCATCGCGATAACGATAAATAAAATATAAGAGGATATAGCAGTGATAGATTAGTTAATATCTCTTAATCTATTGATTAAGATCTGCGTGATCAAATTCATCACAATACCCACATTCGTCGTCTTTACCTAATATATTTCATTCTAATCACAAGACATAAAAACTATATATATATATATCGATATATCTTTACAGTTATTTAACTTATATATATTGTTTATTATGCTACGTATGTATTTTTTATATTTAAGTCAAAATACTTATTATATAACGTTAAATCAATGTCCATCAATCAGATTACAACTCACTCGTTATGGTGGCCATCGGGAAACAATCTTTTACTATATCTTATATCGAGAGAATACTTCACTGTATCGAGTTGAAGTCTAACAATTCCATAATTCAAAATTCTTCACTATAGAGAGTTTACTACGCATAACGAGTGAGTTGTATCAATCATCATTATCGTTATGTTCAAATAGTTCAAATGCAAGTGTAACCAATCAAATATTCGGCAATAAAAACATATAACAAAAAATCAAAAATTTTTAACTTCGAAAAATCCTGCTCTGTGTATAACATAACATAATATTGGCACCGTTCATATGACTGGCACTTATTTTCTGTATAACTTTGCTTGTATAACTTTATTTACGTTAAATGTTTAGATTAAATTTTACGATCTATTAATTACGTATGTATACTTTAATAATAATTATAAAAAGGACATTTGGCTAAGTACTGGCGAATTTCGTCAAACTAACGATAACGACATACTTTCGTACTAAATTGGAATAGAAATTATACCACATGGCTTTATTCGATGTTAAATTACGTAAACTAAAACTTGCCAAGTTGTCTCGTGCTCTGACGACATAGTATATTAATAAAGATCATTCTTCTGTCCACTCTCCTTACTCTACTCTTGCGTTGATAAATCTTTAATTAAATATTTCAAGTTTAATACCTAAATCTTTTTATTCAAATAAAGATGGGTGCTATGATACATCCAAATAATGCTACAATTTCTGAAATTCCAGATCATATAGTTCCAATTCTCGTTGTTGGTAGTATAGCACTTGGATCAGTATGCGTTCATTATATTCTAACATTTATTATGAAAAAACTTGCAGTGAGAGGTGGGTGGGATTTTGATCTTGAGCTTGTTAAGCATTGGTAAGTTATTTTTTTTCATATTTGAGTGACGCAAATGAAAAACCAGTAATATTTTTATGCATTCGGTGGTTTTCACTTAACAGAATTCATCAAATGCATAACATTACTTGTTGGTTTTCATTTAGTGTTATTCTCAATGCACGAATAAAATCATTAATCAAGTAAATTAACTAAATCATAATAATATTTTCATATTTTAAAACAGCTCAAAACCCACTCTATTCATGTTTCCGGTCATATCTATTCTTATAACACTCTCACTTATTCCCGACGCTGATCCAAACGTAATGATTCCAGTTCGTCATACTTTAGAAATAGCTTTGATCTTATTTGTTACATGGGCAGCTTTTGGTTTTATAAAAGCATCTTCAATTTGTATAGCACGAAACAGATCTAGAAAGCACCTAACGCAAATCATAGTTACCACCAGAGTTTTTTATGGATTAGTTGGTTCATTAGGTGCTGCTTGTGTGATTTTAACTTTCCCACGGGGTTGGGAACTTGGGGCAAGTTTATTGGCTAGTGCTAGTGTTACTGCGCTATTTATTGGTCTTGCTGCAAAACCATCCTTAGAGGTAAACTTACAATATAATATATAGAAATATGAAAAAAAAAAAATTTTCGCTAATTTTGATTAATCAAATAATATTAAATTATTAGAATTTGGTTGCATCTTTACAAATTGCTTTGACTCAACCTTTACTATTAGAGGATTATGTGACTATAGATGGTTATTCCGGAATTGTCGGTATGTATAAATAATTTATTTTTATTGCTTAATTAATCGTATATGTAAATTAATTCTTATACGTTTTTATTTTAATATTATATACTTTGCACAGAGTCAATTCTATCACAGTTTATAGTAGTAAAAAGTTTTGATGATAGGCGGTTTATTATTCCCTTATCTCGTGTAGTTAACAACTCATTTGAAAATTGGACCCGCGGAAATGAAAGCATATCTTCTGAGTTTAATATGTTTGTTGATTATGGCATTCCACTTGAGGATTTGAGGCAACAATTTTTATCCTTTGTAGAAAATCATGAAAATTGGGATGGGAATAGGAAAGATACTGTTTTGACTGTATGTATGCAATATTGTTAACATAGAAAAAAATTTATGAATAACATATAAAATTAACTTTTTCTATAAACTTTTTATAGATTTCGGAAGCTAGAGAAACTTCATTGATGTTAACAGTTTCTGTAACCGGTACATATTAATTTATTGTTCTTGTGTTATATGCGTTTTGTTATATATGTTACTTGAAATGATTTTAATTATGTTTATTATTGTTAAATAGCTACTAATCCAAGGAAGTCTCGCGCATTGAGAAATAAAGCTCGCGAAAACTTGGTAAGCTTTACTTTTTTTTAATTATATATTTATTAAAAAAAATTGTAATTTAATACTTTTACGTCATTTTGATATAAATCCAGATTGAATACATGATGACTACTTATCCACAATACCTCCCTCGATCACGATATGAATCAACAACACCACGAACTGGAATTGACAGCATGAAAAAAGTTGTTCCAAAAATGGAAGAAGCACTTATTTGATAATCAAGTTGCAAAGTTAATAAAAAATCATTCAGTTTTTGCTATTTTTGTATTTATTCATGGTTTTGTAGTTATTTACAGTATTCATACTTTTTTTCTGGTTAAATGTATTATATTAGTTTAACAAATTGATTGTCTTTTTCTTTTTAAAAAAAAAAGAGTCTGTATAAAGTTGTTATTTTACATATATATTCATTATAAGAAATTTTATTAAATAACACTTGATACGTATATCCGAGAATTTGCAATTACTATATATAATGTATATTTTTGTGCTTCAGATTAGATTACATTAAAAAAAGTTTACTAGGCCATACTTTGTTACAATATAAATGGCTTATGAGAGCACGTCTTATTGATCTTATTTACATAACTTTTATAGGAGTATCAATACAGTGAGACCCAATTTGATTTGGTTTAGATTAGCACTAATCTAATTAGTCTATATATATATATATATATACCGTATAATAAATAACGCGCAGGGACGTTATTTTGAATAATGGCCCGAATTAGACTTAATTTAGGCCAAAATTCGAAATTGCACCCCTGCGCGTTATTTCGCGTTTATACGGTAGCTAATATATACAGAGATATAAATATATTTATATAATATATAATAGTTTATAGTTATTGTACATTTTTGTGCATGATAAATTTCTGGCGTCAGATAAATTTTTGTTTTGATATTTAAACTATTCACCATTGAGTTTTTTTTATTTTTATTTCTTTCTCATTTGAATTTCAAAAGTGAATCAATTCACAACTGTTATGCCTGGACGGACTTCGGTATACAATACAATTAAAAACTTCACCAGAAAAATCAACAATGAGGAGAAAGATCTAAATGAATTTCAACCACTATCGAAAAAAATCAGTGTTTTCAATGTATGCTTTGGAATGTTATTCGCGTGAAATTTCATATATTCCAGGCAATTATTTGAAACGAGTATACCTTAAAAAAACATTCACCTGAAAACCTCTCCAATATTTTTAATCATGCGATTGAAAATTTAGAAATTTATAAAAAACCATTAATGATGATTTTATTAATACATCAGATTTTGAGAGAGAAAAGCGTTTTTTAAAAGGGAGAAAGAACAATTAGTTTTTATTACGGATGCTGACCCAGCAATAGATTGTGAGAAGGGGTTTGGGTGCTCTCAAGCGTCATTCCGATGTGATTAGCAAGTGATCGCAACGGCACTCAAGCAAAATTATATTTACATAAAATTTTTATTGAGAATTCGAATATGTAATTTATAATGTAATTGAAATTTTCTCAAGCATCATCTTCGATGTAATTAATTAGTGATCGTAATGGTGCTCATTTAATAGAATCAATTGAAATAAACATTGCAATCGATGTTTGAGCGGTTTTTTTTATTCGTCAAAAATAAAAAATGAAAAAAAAATGAAAAATAAAAAAGCGAAAAATAAAAAAACAATCCCAACTGTTAAAAAGAAGCAAATGCTGTGAATTATCGAAAATATTTTGGCGAAGCATCAACTTCAGCAGCCCTTCACCAATTATAATGTTATTCCAGCCTCTCCATTTTTATGAAACCATTAGTTCTTGTTGCCATATTGGTAAAAGCTAGGAGATGATAAGTATCGGCTATTGTTTGAGCCTCCTGTTTGTTTTATCGTTCATAAAAACGTTTAGTGCGAAAAGTAAAATAATAATTTATGGCAATTTTACTTGTGTGGCTTTTTTGAAAACTCAATTGATTGTAAAATTTTCAAGACAGGTATAAAAAAAAGGACTTTTGTTGTAAAAAGTTTGTTGATTTAAATGACACTTTCATTTCTATCTTTTTTATTAATAAAAATGTCATATTTACGTAATAAGCTTTATCAATTTATGCATATTCATCTTAATGATAAACACGCTTGACTAATTTAAACTATTTTCCGCTAAATAAATTTTATTTCTTTGCCCCATTGATTAAGGTGCTTGAGAACACCCTTCATTTCTGTGACCTGATTGGATGGTTTGATGGCAATTAAGAAAAGAATGCATGAACCATCTGGGGTTTATAATAGAATGACATTATTATTTCCATTCAAAGGACTAGAAGAGTCCAGGCAACCTGGCCCAATGAAAATTTGGATGGACTTTAAATTACAATTTAAAACAAGTTGATGGTGTATTACAAAAGAAAAGAACAATCAAGGAGGTGTATTTTATCAACCACGATATGGTCATATCTGTTCCAGATAGTTAGTCCCAAACATCAATTTACTCCATTTATCAAAACGCTGCATCAAACCCTATTTAATATACGATTTTTAAAAATTTTTAGGGTATATTTTTTTATAGATTTGAACTAGGATTTAGGGTTAGAGTTTATAATAAAAGAGTTTTAGTAGGGTTTATATTTTTAGATTAAGGCCCCCAGATTTCATGATCATCCGATTTCGCGACATTAATTATAGTTTGGTTAAACGTTAAAAGATTGTTGTATTTATTACACTCATATTAATGTATCGATTATTTGTTTTAAAAGCTTCGAACATTAAAAAAAAAATGGCTATCTTTTGAGAAATTTGTTGAGAATTCATTGTTTATTATGTTCGATATGTTTGAGCAACCTATATCAATGGTAAATTTTTGAAGAAAAAAGGTGGTTTGTGTCTCCCTAATTTTGTCATCGGAATGGTAACTCATTTGATTCATTTATTTAATTTCCGACTAATTAAAATTTTGCTTCCGAGCACTTGATTGAGGTGCTTGAGAACACCTTAAAATAATATTCTTTCGATGCTCATAAGCATTTGAAAAGCATATATTATGCAATCCTCTTCACAAGGAGGTAATATTAAATGCAATTGTAAAAATGCATGAGACAAAAATCACTGTAAATGTAAAAATAAATATACCCTGTAGGAATAGTTGCTATCCCACTAATCATAGAGTAAAATTTCGTAACATGCTTTTAAATTTAATAATTTGCAATGCACTGTGTTATAAATAAATCCTATCTTAGTGATTTAAATTCGAAAACAATGTACTCGGGAGAATAATTTGGAATACACAATTTTGTTGTAAGTTGAATTGAAATTCTTTACTAACTCGGGCACATTTAGAATTCTATTACAATCTATGTTTATTTGGAATCAACCTAAATTTACAATAAATCCATTAAGAATCTTAACAATTGAAGTTGAATATTGAAGCCTGGTTGCGCTAAATTCAAGAAGAGTCTTCTTTAGCCTCAAGTAAAGCATAAAATATACTCAGTAAAAATAGATTTCAAGGTTATACTTATCCTGGCATTCAGTCGTGCCACAGCAATATTCCAAGACCTTGAAGCTCAGATCAAGTCTTTCCATGCCTCTCTTCTATCTTCCAACTCAAGGTTTTAGAGTCTTAGGAAAGTTGAACCTATTGTTTAGTAGTATAGTTTAGTTAGTTTATTAGTTTTAGCCTAATATTCACCTTCTCAAAGCAAAAAAGAATTTGTTACATTTTAGAAATAGATAAATAATGCAATATTTATTGGATGAATTGGTGAAATATTTTTGAAAGCTTGTTACATTACAAACTTTATGTTTGAAATTCCACATGTATGAGATATAACTGTATCTTACACGAATTTTCTAAGTTTATTTTGATCTACACTTTCAGTTACTTGGTGCGTGAAGCAAATTGTTTTCAACCAGACAAATTTGTGTTTTTAAATTGTCTCTAGTTTACTTAATTAAGCGAAGCTCTTCAGTTGTACCAATATAAAAAATTTTTGAAAAATGAATATCTAATGTTTAAATGTCTGATTTGTTTTAACAAAACAAATCAAATGCATCAAAAATTATCAAATTTCAATCATTAGCTAACAAGATATTATAAAATTTGCAAAAATTTCCATAATATAAATTTAACAATTATGTAATTATGTAATTAGAATTCAATAGGTTTATTGGAATCATCTTATTAAAACAATCATTTAAGTAGTAAAATCATTCAAAACGAACTGGTCTATCAAAAGTTATTTAATTTTAAACTATATTTATTTTAATAGTAATTCTAATTAGAGATGGGCACTATGCACATGAATGCATGCATGCATACATGCGTGTATGCGCATAATTTATGCAATTTTATTCTAATATGCCCATACAAGATTATCTCTTTTACAGATTAAATATTTTCTTTAACTTTGAACAATGCTATCTCAGCAACTACAAAGCTAAATTTGATAAACTTTTTTTTATTTGAATTTTATGATTCATAGAATTCAAATAAAAAAAGATTTATTAAAATTAATTTAGTAGTTGCTAAAATATCTTTGTTCAAAGTTTAAAAAAAATTTAAAACATCTATCAAAATAAGCTATACAGAATTTTCTTTAAGCTTTGAGCAATAATATCTCAGTATCAACAAAATCAAATTCAATAAACTTTTTTTTATTTAAATTCTATAAATACAGTTATACCTCTCTAAGTACACACCCCCTAAGTGCAAACCTTCTCTAAATGCATATTATGGCCTAGTCCCAAGCTTGGGACTTATATTCTGCATGTGTATAAAATTTTAGAGTCCCAAGTATATATATATATTTCTATAAATGCATATATATAACTTTGACAGTGAATAACTTTTGATCTACTGGTCCGTTTTGGATGAGACACCTACCAAAATGTTCGTCTCGGTGAGACAATTCCAACGAGCTCAAAATCGCTTAAATCCAATCACAGCACCCCGAGATCATTAAGGTTTTGTGTTACTTTATTTATATTTTAAAATTGATTTATTTAATTCTAAATACATACAAAGTAACACAAAACCTTAACAATCTTGGAATCCTGTGATTGGATTTTAGTGAATTTGAGCTTGTTGAAATCGTCTTATCGAGGCAAACATTTTGGTGGGTGTTTTTATCCAAAACGGACCAGTAGATCAAAAGTTATTCACTCCTAAAAATTATGAAATATGTATATTTATATTCTCTAAATGCAAACCTATATCTAATTTTCTAATATATGCATTTAGAGAAGTT